AACTAGGTGTTGGATAAAGCTTAGATACACTCCCTACAACTTAAACACTTCATAAAATGACTTAAAACACTTGATTTCTAAAAAACCTTAACCAAAATTAGAAATTAATGGCTCTAATTGATGCTAAGGGAATAAAAAATAAGAAAATTACCTTGGTTTCTTCAATCTAGCTTGAAATATCACCTTAGTTTGCTAATGAGAAGGAATCGAGAGATGAAAATGGAAGAGAAAATGAATGAGGAGATTTTTGCATGGAGTTTTCTGGAGAATGGAAGGTTTATAACCTTAAAATAGGCTAGGGGTAAATTGTTATCTAGTTCCCTCTCATTTATTATTTAATTTAAAACTATCACTAAACTTAACTCTTGGGCCTACCTTAGGCCCAATACCCTTTATAATTGGTCTAGATGGCTCTATTTAATCTAATGGGCTCTAATATCTGGTTTTGGATTGACTCAAACTACTGACCCAGGTTCCGAGGCATTATAATTCTCCCCTCCTAATAGAAAATTTCATCCTCAAAATTTTGACAGACATCTACTACTAATCTCAACTTCTAAGACATCTAACTCTAAGGGTTGGCCACTAAATCAACCATGGTTGTTACTGGATTAGGAAATAGGGTAAAGTTACATGAGATCTCATCAGTTGCACCCTCCTACTCCTGAGCTCTAATCGCATACTAACAGGCTGCAACTCTAGGCTCCCCAGTAACTCTGGACTGAACTGCACCCCTACCAACTTGAAGAGATGAACTTCATCCTCTTTAAAATCTTCCACCCCTCTGGACTATCGGAGCTGATTGTTGGGTTAAAGCTGGAACTACACTCTGAGCTTCTAGGCAATCTCAGAGAAAATGATCTAAAGACCCACAATAGTAACAACCCTGAGCCCCAAACTTGCAAACGCTTGGGCGTTTCCTACCACAGCGAGAACAAGAGGGATGAGTAGGAACTCTCAACGATCCTACAACACTAGCTGCTGGTGCAATAACCAATGGTCTCCTGCGTTAACTGGTCATACTTCCTCCTCTACTAACACTCTGCGCTGATCGGTTAAATTGATCTATCATGACTCTCTCGGGCTCCTGAGATTCTCTTGACCTCTTGAATGGTTACATTGGTTCTACTGACTCTTCCATTTCTCTGCCCTGACCTAAAGTAGATTTTCTTTGGTTGCTCTCTAATAACTCCGTAAAAAGGTCATATTTGCGACCTTTTCACTTAAGTTATTGACTTTCTTAGAGCTCATATAGGATCATATAGATGCATTTAGGAGCATATAGTTGCATGTGGTGAAATTCTGTTTGTCGTAGTATTTTATTTTGTAATCAGTGCTGCTTTATGGGGAAGGTGTTTGTTTGATGATGTGCAGGATTTGGGAGCAATGATAAGCAAAAGGGAATTGTCATGACATGATGAGACTACTGAGCAAAATGTGATTGCCACGACAACTTGGATGGTATTTCTGGGCAGAAAAAGTCAAAGAAAATATTTTTAGTAAGAGCCAGCTGTCAGGCATAAAAAGTGATTTCTGCAATCAGCCATAATGGAGGGGTCAATTACCATCTTTGCACCGACTCTCACATAAAATGAATGAACTTTAGGGTGCTGGTGTAATTTTAACACAAAACCCTAGGTTCATTCTCCCCTATAAATAGAAGATGAAGCCTGACTTTTTGAAGAGACTTGGAGATTTTTAGACAACCGCCAAGAGCCTAAAAATTCAGAGAAAAAGTTCTCTTTTTTTTTCGTCAATCGTTTTTTCCATGGCATTCCTCCGTTGACAAGCTAAAGGGAGTGGCAAATTAGGCGTCTGAGAGGAGCTAGATCGCTAGGACAGTTCGTGGTGGCCAAGGGAAGCTCTGGCAGTGCACGTCAAAGGCTTTTTCTCCTTCCCTTTGCTCTTTGCTTTCGTATTTATCTTTTGGGTTGTAAGGAATGGATTAACTTTCTTTTTTCTTGCTTATTTCGAACCCCACCATGAACTAATCCTATTTGGTGGGAGTTTATTTTGGATATTTAAGTTTTACTTTAATGAATGGTTATTTTTCTATGTCATATTTTATTTTGTTTATGAAGCTTAATGCCTTAAGATTGTAAGAGCTACGAGAGTAGCCGTTCCTTAGGAGATTACTTAGTGTTCGAGAGAATGTCTAGGTAGCACGTCCTTAGTGTTCGAAAGAAACTAGGGAGGAACCACATAAACAAGGGGTTCTAGATAGTAACTAGGTCTAATCCACCTTAGAGATAAGGCTAGGATTTCATTCGACTAAAAGGAGTTGTGTATGAGTGATAGGTTAGATGTTAATACTTCTGCAAAAAGGTATTGTCGAGACATATCTTGTTATCTGGACCAATAGGATCCCTGCAGTAGCTAACGCCAATTGGTTTTGCCAAGGCATCTTTAATCTGTCGAGTCCCTTACTAGAGATAGCATAGGGCACCCTTAGTAAACTCTGTCGGACAGAGGAGGCATAGAAGTAAGACAATTCTGAGAAGTAAACTTAAATTTCCTAAGTAACTCCTATCATTCATTCCATAGTAGCTTGTCGTGTGAGGAGTCTAAAGTCCTTATAATCAAATCCAGTATTTACAGTTTATTTTGCCTTTACATTTTTATTTGATTGCAGTACACACAATTCCTTTTGCCACAACATATCCATTTGCTACCACATTGTCATCGTTCCATTTCTATACCATCCATTCATTTTGCTACATCATTACCATTTGTATATATACAATCTCTAACTTTACTTAGGTGATAGAGTAAAGTGTCGTGACAAACTTATTTGATTTTCTCCAATCCCTGTGGAGACGATACTCACTTATCACTGTATTACTTGTTTGATTGTGTATACTTGCACATATTTCCGCACTCATATATAGTACTCACAAATAGAAGACACTCTTCTTTCCACAACTCTTTCTACTGTTTTCATCTGGCGAACTAGATCGACAAATACTCTTGGTGGATTGGCAACTAAACGAGTCAAGATATCTAACTGAAGACCTTCTCTAAACTTCCAGCAATGATGATACTTTGATGAAACTAACTTTGGGGGTGTATCTACTCAACCTAAGGAGCTCCACCTCATACTCAAATATTGATTTGTCCTTTTGGTTCAACTGAGTGAACCGATCTCTCATTGTATCCATGTGGACTTCTTCTATATATTTTTGGTGATCCTCTAAAAATCGGTCCCATGTGGGTCGCTCTGACTCTAACGACATCTCAACTGTCTTCCACCAATCTATCGTGTCACCTTTCAACAGCGAGATAAAGCACTCCAACATTCCCTCGGGAGTAAGATGTAGCTGACTAATGGTTCTAAGGGTTTCCCTTAACCACTGGTGGGCTACAATTGGATCATCATCCCCTTACCCAAAGAATTCAATGGTCTGATACCTCTATAGCCTCTCTTCTGGGTTTCCTGAGGTGCTACAACTGGAGGAACAGACTGGACAGATGGGATAGCAGGTTCCTAAGGAATAGCTCTAACAATCTGCTCTATGGTAGAGGTTAAATTCCTGAAGAAGGTAGCCTCATCAACTCCTGCATCTCTAGGATCTCTATGTTCGGAGTCTGGGATGAACTCATCTCTTGAATCACTAACTAAAGGAGCTCTACTCTCGTCTCTACCCTCTCTACTATGATCTTGGATTCTGTCCATCTCTAAAATTTTGAAATTAAAAGGAAACAAAGAATTATTATCACTATTGTAGATACAGAAGTACGATTTAACTCTTTAGGGGCATGTATACTTATAAAATCTATACTGACTCTGACCAACACTGCCCACCACCACTAACTCGAGGGTCATAGGAACATCAATCCTGACGCTTTAATACCACTAAAAGTAACACCCTAGACTAGTACGACACATAGTCGACCGATTTAAGATGTTACACGAAACCACTAAAGTGGCTAACAAACTTTTATTATTTTCTTTAAATATAAACAACTGTAAAATAAACTAAAGAATAAATTAAATCTTTATAGTAAAGAGCTCCAATTTAAAATATTTACACTTTACAAAAATAATACAAATCACTCTGCTAAAAATACGACTCAATTGGATAATAAAGTTTACAAATATACATGTCCTTCAAAATGTTGAGACATACTCTATAGTATGCACTAGATCTGAACTGGGTCTGGTCAGATCCTATATCAATCTACAAATCCTTACCTGGTGGATCTACTAACCTGCCCATGGAAACAACCAAGGGTTGAGGTAACTAGCTCAGCGATACACTAATAGCTGAAACATACTAACTTCATATCACTGAAAGGATGGTTATCAAGTCTATTGATATGATATGCTTAGTGAATATCCTCATGATACTCACTCTTTATGCTACTATAGACATCATGGTACGGCTGAGGGATTAGTACATCTCGGAGCTCACGCACCCCTCTAGTCTACTGAGATATGGTCCCTAGAATTCTGCATCGGACCATACCCCTGACTAACCCACCCCTTGCGAGTGTCAGGCCTCGGCCTTAGTTAGTCGTTTTAAAGGCCTTGCGCCCTACCTAAGAATATATTCGAACTGTATCTCTACTTTCTACTCCACTAGTTTTTCTAAAGGAATTCGGGTGTCCGAATCGTTTTCCGAGCATCAAACAAGGCTAGTCTTATTTTTTCCTAATTATTTGATTTCTAAGTTTGAATTAACATTTATAATATTCCCCTTGTAGTCTTATTTGATGATATAAAGAAGTGTTGGGGTACCTCGAGTCTAATTCTCTCGAAAACTGACCTTGTTGCCCAAAACAGACCGAAAATATCGATATTAACTCAAGAGTATCGATACTCCTGCAAAAGTTTGATATTTTGTGTAAATATTTTTAAACATTCTATTCTTTTCAAATGTCTACCCCACCCCGCACTACCTCGCAAGTAGCTTATTAGTGCAAAACATTTTTTGTTTGTTTGTTGATGAGAGATCCTTTCTCTTCCATATCTTCTTTCTTTAAAAAAAAAAACCCACAAAGCTTAAGTAACTTTTTTCCTCCCTTTATTTCTCTCTTTTCCTGCTCTCAAAACCCTAATTCAGATAATCGTTTACGGTGAGTAGTCGACAACAGCAAGAAGAGAAAAAGAAAAGGTTGCTTTTCGTGTCTGGAAACTATAATAGAAAGCTGGTTTTCTTCTTTGAGTAAAAGAACAAGAGGGAAGATCAAGTTCGATATCAGGGGAAAGGGGAAGCTTTAAGAATATATGGCAACTTTCTCCAGCTCTTGTTTTAGAATCTTTCATCTCTTATCTACTTTTTCCGTTTCTTCATAATTGGCTTTAACCCTTTTTTATTTCTTGTTGCCTTTTTCAAAGATACAATAATCGGAGTTTTTCGCCATGGATTCTGGTAACAGTAGTAGCATGCAGTCTTCAAGCGGCGGTGGTGATGACGAGTACGACTCAGTCTCGAGACCTGAGTCAGTCCCAGCTTTTTTGAACAGTTCAGACCATTTTAATCCCTTATCAAATCAACACCCTTCACTCGTCGTCCACCACCAAGATCAGCCGTCCACTTTCTTTGATCCTTATGCAAATTATCTCAACAACTCTTTCTCTCTATCTCCGCCGAACAACTCTCTGCTGAATTTTGACGGTGTTAGACCTCGGATGAGCCTAAGAACCGAACCCAACACCATTGACCTCAGTAACCTATCGAGCCAGTCTATATTAGGCTCACATGGTCTTAATCAAGGTCCATTCCCGAGCTCATCGTCGGTGCAACCGAGGTCAGATCATGAAAATGGTGTAAGAATTTCAACACAATCTGATCAAACCACAAGTGCTGTAAAGAACCCCAAGAAAAGGACAAGAGCATCAAGGAGAGCACCGACTACAGTTCTCACCACCGACACAACGAATTTTAGAGCAATGGTGCAAGAATTCACCGGCATCCCAGCACCACCGTTTTCGGGTTCGTCGTATTCTCGAAGACTCGACCTTTTCGTATCTGGTTCAGCCTCACGGTCTAGTCATTTGGAACCTTTAGGTTCTCTCTACCCTTTACGTCCCTCTGCCAAAAGGGTCCAGACGACTCCATTCGCATCCTCGTCTTCTTCATTGTTAAACAATCCCTTACTTGCTGCTGCCAATACAAGCAACACCACCATCGCCAATGCATTCAATCCAAGTTCCAGTAACTATCAAATTCCTTCTGATGTAGGCTTACTAAAGCAGCCTCATATGTCCAACATGCAGAACCAGAGCCAAACTCTATCGTTCCAGTCCTTCCTGGACGCGCCTCCTCCTTTACACCCATCTCTCGGTTTGCCTGGTTTCGGTGTGAAGTCCCAGGGAACCTCGGTCATGCCTTCCATTGATGACTTGGGGTTTCGCCATGGTAATGCAAGCCTTGGTGGCTTACAAACTCATTTGACACCAGAACTGGAACGTTCAAGGAGAGAGCGCAACTGGAATGATAACGGTGTTGGATTGAACGATGGCAATGAAGACCACTTGGGGTCTTTAGATGGGGATTATGGTAGCAATAATTCACAAGGAGTTAACAGCTGCAAATTGAACTACTCGGCTTCCTCGTCAGCTTTCCACCACCATGAAAAGGGTCTGGAGAACGTTTCTTCAAGAGCAGAAGGTACAGTCGATTCATGGATTTGTCCTGCAGACTAGAAATTACCCATCACCTACTAAACTTAGTTTGAAAAAATACTGTCATGCAGAAGAAGAACTAGAAGGGTTTCTAATTTTCTTATTTTTCTTTTGTTCATTTTAGAGAATAATTAATTAATTCATAATTCCAGTATCATACTCATATTCTGCAGACATATATTATGATATTATCGTCCTTTATTGGGATTAAACACTTACTAAGACATACAGCGGTGCCATTAATTTAATTTAATTTAATCTATTACTGTATGTGTTTTAAACATTGGTTTGGGGAACTCAACTGCAGCATGGATGATAAGGAACAAGGAAAACCTCTTTCCTCGTACCTTGTCTAGTGGGATAAACTAAATAGGTCGGTGATGTTAATAAAATAAAAGTACTTTTTTTTCTCTATTCCTTAAATTCTAAACCTCAATCTATCTCTAATATATATATTTATTAAATATTTTCATTAATAAAAAAATTTGTTTTAGATAATTTAAATTTGAATAATTATGCACGAACCCAGCGATATAGGTGGAAAAAGATTGTTGTTATTTTTTGAAATACTAGGTTCAAACACTAAAATTACTAAGAGTGTAAATGTTTAATATCAAATAATTAAGAGTTATCCTATCACCTATTTTACTTACCCGATAATTAAAAATACAAAAAAAATTCTCGAATGCCTGGTGGTCCTTACCTACCCATTTCCCCAAGTGCTTCAAAATCTCTTGGGAACTTCTTAATGTTGTTATGTGACTAAAGTGAAAGAGGGAAGACCTTCCCTGGCCCTTCTCACAGCCTTTAATTTTTAACCTATTCAACTTTTAATAGTTACATTAAAAATAAATAAAGACAAGAGTTTTCTCTAGTTAATTTATTTTATGTACAATGCCAATAATTCCTCAATTTTCTATTTTGAGTGTTTTTCTTTTTGTTAACTTACAGTGCATTTCAAATAATTTTCTTCGTTGAACAAAAATGTAATAATATTCTTCACATATAACCCCAAATCAAATAATAAAAGTTTTAACTTTATAGTTATTAATACCATTCGAAAAAAACTTTATAGTAATTAATAAGATCTTTTTTGTTAATCCATACCTTATTTTTTTAATTATAATATTTGATTCAATTGATTTATGCAATATCTTAACAAATAACATTTGATGACATTATACTATGATATTGTGTCATATAGGTTATGATTGTACATTTTTAGTCTAAATCTAGTATTTTTTATAAACTAGGTCCCTGAATTTTTTGAATACATGCTAATTCTTAAATTAGAATTTTTCTGGATGTGATTTTTTTAAAACTTGAATTTTTTTTATCATTTGATGATATTGTACCATAAGGTGTGATATTAAAGTACGACATCAGCATTAAAAATAAAAAAAAAACTATTAAATTTTATTATTAATGTAGATAAAAAGGTTGAAGGATTAAATTAAAAAGTTAAGGGATTAAATATTACTTTGTCACATCACTAAAGAAAGGGGGAGGGAAGAGAGATGGTGCGGAGTAATCGACGGCAAGATTGAAGCAATCCACACCTTACCTGCCGCAATCATAAACTACAAGTTAAAATATAGCTTCCTATTATTATTATTATTATTATTATTATCCTTCATTTTGATTTTAAGTTTGATTAATATCCTAAATCATTTTACCAACAATTAGTTAGTATAGTGGAATGAGACACTAAATCCCTTAAGCAAGGTCAAGAGTTCGAATCCTGGTGTTTGCGAATGGAACAAATTGTGTAGGGAGGGTCACCCTTGCCTCTTCAGTATCCGATCTGGATTAGTCTGTTAATAAATCGGATATCAGTTATTAAAAAAATCCTAAATCATTCCCTTAAATAATTTATGTAGTAAAAACTAGTTTGTGATGTTCACAATAATTTGTTGGTGAATTAGATTCTTTGCATCTAATTAGAGTAATTAGAGGTGGATTACAATTGATGAAATTATTAAAGCAATGAGAGATGCTACATTCAGCCAAAAAGTTAATGATCATTTATATTTTTTCCATAATTTGATTGGTTGTCCAAGATTTTGCACCACATGCTAGATCCTTGTAGCCTATTTATTGGAATATACAAAGAGATGCACATTATCTGTGGCCGTATATGAGCGAGGAGAGAGAGAGAGAGTTTGGGGTTAAATTGAAATGTTTTGTGGAATGATTACACAAGAGAATTGGTGAGATGGGTAAGAAAAGGAGGGTGCAGATAATGAGCCTATTAAGAAGAAGGCATGATGACAAGGAAGTGAAGGGGGATGATTGTTACCAATATGGGAATTTGGGAGGGAAAAATGTTGGTAATGACATGTGATATTTTCTCTTTCGGAATCATGTGGCCCATCCCACACAATAACCTGGGTTTTAGTAATCATGATTGTTTTCAGATCTCTCACTCCTCCCATTCATGTGAGACAGACTGCACTTTCATCCTATGAGAACCCATGGACTTACAAATCTTGTTTTCAATAAATAAAGGGCTAATATGGAACTAATTTATTTTTAAGGGACTAGAACTACGGTTTACCGTTATTAGGATGTGAAAGTACAAGATTAGTTAAACTGTAAAATAACAGATGCTAAAAGAGGAATTAAAATGTAAAAAAATATATACAGATATGGTCATTTCATATTCAAGGTTCTCAGCTATGATATTGAGGGTGTTGAAGTATCTGTTCTTCTTCTTTCTACTGGGGTTGTGTGTTTTTTTTTATCTTTGTACGTAAGCAGTGATGAAAGTACATGGCAACCTGACACAATTCGGTCGTCTTTGAAGACCAGGGGCTGGAGAGAAAAATAATAACAATAAACAAGCCCTCGTGAATTAGACCGGCAAATGCTACAATCTTACACGCCATTGGGGGTTAACAAAGAAAATTAAACATTTACTTTGACCCTTGTTTTGAATTTAAGTGAGGGGCTAAAATGAATGTTTAAACAAAGATATATTAGTATAAACTCATTAAGTGACATAAGTGATAAAATAAAATATTAATTTTTTAGATGATTCATATTCAAATAATTACATTTATAAAATATATATTTGATAGTAAAACTATAAGCGTCTAAAAAATTGGGTGATCATTAAATATTTTATTTATTATTCTCTCTAAACAACTGACCATAAAATATATTTCATTATATACTATAGATAGGGATCAAACCAGCATATATATTATTTAAAAATGTCTAGGAATGCAAAGGGGTGAGCAGTGACCACACTACAAGCAGAAGCAGAAGCAGAAGCAAATGGTGTAGGCTAAAAATGGGAAGGGGTTGGGAATGGCATCCTAGTCACTACTCAGGACGGTATCATAGTGCAGTTAGGTAGCCCACTAGAGAATTAAAGTCCTGAGCTTCTAACCAACACCAACAAACCTTGTTTACAACTACCAGCCTTTCACATTCAATTTTTCATTTTTTAATAGCATACGATAATTATAATATAGTATCTATTTAGAATTTTCTTAATCTATTGATAGCACACGTATTTTGCAGACTCGATTACTCAAACATATGATCTCTAGAAAGAGCAACATTCTGTTTTATCAAATTTTAATAAATACACATTATGCCTATAAAAATTTACAAGCTATTTCATTTCTAAAATACATTCAGAAAGCCTTCTTTACCGTGAAAATAAAGTTAACCAATTGATGCTGGATCTGAGATTTCAGCACATTCAAACCTGAAAAACATATATTCTTGAAAAGTACTGATAGGCAGCGTTCCATGCGGTGGAGAATATTTTATGTGTGTACGAGTCTGAGACGAACCAGCTCATGGCCCTGCTATTATTATTATTCACACTGCAAATACATGCCAAATGTTAAGGACAAATAAGTGGTCAATAGTTATGATGTTCTCAAGTCTTAAATGTGCACTATATTTTATTCAAATTGAATTGATTTACTAAAATCAAATTTAATTAGGTTATTCAGTCGACTATATCATGTTATTATATATGCTTTTTCTTTTTATATGTTTTGCATTTGAACATCGGTTTCTTGATTATTATTCATGAAAAAAGATAAAATAGGTAAGATTTTAAAACATAATTTAACTTTTTAATGGAATGAAATATTTAATGTTAAATTATTTTTTAATTAATAAAAATATTCAATTGATTACTAAAAGGGTTAATTCAAGTAGTAAGCAGCTTTATATCGCTTAAGTAAAATTTCAAGTTCGAGTCTTTAATTATGAAAAAAAAACCCTGTTAGGAGACTCACCTACCAAAACCTAGTGTGTGATGCGAATCGGTTCGGATTAATCAAGGCGAAGCCTTAGAGTCGGGAGGACAACCAAAAAAATTATTCAATTAATTAAAGAGAGAGGTAGAATGTATATCATCAATGATTGGATTTTCTTCTAAATAAATATTAATTTATAATAACTCAAATTAATAAAAGAATTTATTATATAAATCTAAAAAAGTTAAAGGCAAAATCTTCTCGTGAAATGAATTTTTAAAATTTGAATTTGATTTCTCTATCACAATATCCATCAAAATTTCGGCATTTTATTAGTGTCGTGTCTTAGGGAGAAATTGACATTTCCGCAAGTAATGCTACGCCAGGTCGGTAGAGTGACGCTGGCCCTAAAATGCAGTAGCCAAGTAAAAATATTCTTTCGTTTACGAATTAAGTAAATTAGATTACGATGATTTTTTCTATTTCGTAATATCTTATATATATATATATTAATCGATTGATAAATTGAATATAAGTGGTTATATAAAAAAAATATTTCTATATTTCATTGTTGGATTTAATAAATAAATTACTTTAATATTAGTTGAATAATTACTTGATCAATAGAGGTAGAATTTTTAATCTTTACAAATGATTTTAATTTACTATCGTGTGTTTAAATATAGATGAATGACACATAATAATACGTTAATGTTATTTGTGAAGGTAAAAAGGACTTTATTATCAATATGTAAGCGTCTATTCTAGTTTAGGATTATCAATTGTTATTCAATAAACTATTGAGGCAGGCTAGGCCTAGGCGTGGACAGTTCTATATTA